TACTGCCCTGTGTTTACTTTTCACAGCAGGTTAAAATCTTTCAAACGATCCTAGTACAGCACTAGGAATCCTTATCACAGTAATACTGCTTAGTCATTTTACTTCTTACTTACAGCAGCAGCTTGGGCTATCAGCTGAACCAATGCATTATCTAATTGATAAATGCTCCTGTTTCAGGAAAAAAAGACCAAGGAGCTCCCAGCTGCCAGCTTCAGGTTATGATATTTGGGGCCAAGAACTTGTCCATGCTGAGGTCTGCTGGAATGCTGAACTCATTTGTTAAAGGGTATGTATGAGACCAAACACTTCAAATAGAAAATATGTCACGCAGATTCTGTGCAAAGATCTGTATTAGTGTGTTTGCAGCAGGAGTCTGGCTCAGGAAAGTGGCATTGTCCACAGTCTTGGTCAGGCTTCCTTGTTCTGGTGGCATTTGGCTATCTGCACAACAGCAACACTCAGCAGGGCAGTGACCTGCTCTTTGGGTCCTGAATGGAGCTTCAGAATCTACTTATGACATTAAAATTTAGGGTTCATTATTTTAAGTATCTGCTTTTAGATATTAGAAGAGGAGGGGAAGAAAGTGCAAGTCAAAAGGGTATTTTCATCCCTGTTTTCAGCTGAGCCTTTGCAGAACTAATTATAGGTTTCGCTGTGCTGAAAAGGAAACTTTTGTCCTCTTCATTCTAGACATTTTAAGAGGAGGGACTAAATTTTCCTTCAATGTGCTGAGTAGCTTCTATGTGGGATCATTTTTCTCACTTACTGTCAGGCATCAGATGCCATTGGAAGTAGGATACACTTAACATCTCAAAGCCATTTCACCCTGTATGGCATCTATCTTCAGTGAAATGGGTGAACATTCTATCTAATGAGGGGCAGTATTGGGTAACAATGTGGGGAGTAAAGACTTCTACAGAAGTGACAGCTGAAGAGCCTACTTGCAACCACACTGAAGGCAGACAGGAGAAGGAGCAAGCCCCAAAATAAACACACTAGCACCATGTTCTATCTTGCACTCAAGCTGAACTTTTTTGCTATTTGAGGCAAACCAAAGGGCCCTATTTGACTATTGCAAATGTTCCATTTTCTGGTTGAGAAATCAGTAACCTTGCTGAACTCCCCTTGTTTTTGGCAAGCTGTCTTATTCTGCCAGACCAAACAGAGGTTAAGCGAAAGTCTCCTGTTCTGAAGAAAGAAGTCTGCCCCCAGTGGAAACATTTGTTTGTCTTTGATGATGTTACCTCAGCTCAGCTCCAGCAATCCTGCCTACACTTGACTGTCTGGGACCAGACAGCTTTCAGCCCAAGCGATCAGTTCCTAGGAGGAGCCAAACTTGGTGCAAGTAAGTTCTTTATCAGTACAAACTGAAGGTAATTTGGGGAAAAAGTTCACATAGTTTACATTATAACAAATAATATTCACACTGTGCTTTTTACCTGCCTACACATACAGCCCCAGGTCTTGTCCTAAGCGACTTGCAATCTTGGGCTTTCAGCCTACCAGAACCAATGCATGTGGCTTAGTTCAGGTCTGTACAGAAGCTCATGGTGTCAGGGGGAATTTTCAGAAAAGCCATGGCCAGCATGGTCTCTTTTAGTGCCAGCACCTGGCCATGCACAAAACAGGCACAGAAAAGTTGGGCAGAGTCAATTAATCTAGGGCTTTTTTTTTTTTTTTTTTTTTTTTGAGACTTGTTCCTTGAACTGTTTTCTGTAAGTTGGATACTTTTAGCTACTGTCTTATCAAAAGGAAGGAGAAGCCCTTATGATCTAGTAGACTCCCACCTTGCTTATATTTGTTCTTCTTATTTTACATCCACAAATCAATTCCAATCAATGGGAGCTACAAAAAGTGAACCTTGCTCAGAAAAGCCTATTGGACACCTGAGTTTTGGGCTCTGTTATGACATAAGAGCAAGTCCTCTTTCTCAAGGCTGAGGAACCCTCTGCTCACTGACTAGACCCTGTTTAACTGGTAGTTGATCAGGGAAATATTGACACTTGAAGACTGCCCAGTGAGATCTGTCTTCCCAGTGCTTTGGTTTCAGTATTTGATAGAAAAGGCTTAAAATATTGAGGCTTAGTCACTTTGTTATGGTATCAATGTACACTTTAGAGGAGTATTATCAGGCTTCCTCATGAGCTTCTTTTGATCATCCTACCAAGCATTTTTTTTCTGCTGGAGCAGGGATTTCTGAGTGAAGATGACTGTCCAAGCCCTAAGCCTAGTCATGCATTCAGGTAATGGGGGATAAACTCAAGTAGGAAGCTTTGTGCCATTCTGCTGTTTTCAGTAGGCACACTTGCTCCTCTGCTTTTAAGTCATACAACCAAAACATTTTTCTGTGCTGCAAGAGGAGAGCAAGTCATCCTAGTTAAACAGGATGTAAATAATGCTTCAGAAGTGTAACTATAGTTTATTGCAATTAATGCCTGAGCTGCTAGAGAACAGCTGAAATTGCTAGAGAAGTGGGATAAGCAGGTGGTTTGTTAACCTAGTCAGTTGGGCCAGAAGTTGGGTAAGGCCAAGTGAAAAGTAACCCTGTGACCTTTCCTTTTACTTTCTTGCAGAGGAATCCTGTGGCAGTGTGGACCTTGTTTCTCAGTCGGTGCTCCAATGGCAGGAAGTGCTCCACAGGCCAAACACATGGGTGGACTTCACACTTGTGCTGCATTCAAATGAGGAAAACTTTAAGTCATGAAAGATTACACCACAGCAACTTCTCCTTCCCTATGTGTGACTGATGTTTTAAATTTAAGTGGCATATACCTTTCAGGTCTGGGGAAAGGTACACTGTAACTGTACCTATTTCCCAAAAGCTGGAGTTATGCAGCTGAAAGTGTGTGATGTTCTGAAGGTTTTATTTCTCCAAAAGCCAAGGATTTGTTATCCATGTCTTCAGCTGGACTGTAAGGTTAGTGTTTTTTCAGGAGTGACAAACTCAGTTTGAAATGCATTATGCTGACAAGGCAACGGTAGCCAGATGATACACAGTTTTCAATTTCTGGGCACAGCAGAACTCTTAAGTATTTTATCACAGACAGGAATACTTAGAGAAAATAACTGTTCTTTAAGAATGTTACATACTTGCACCCTGATCTTGATGTTTTACACGTGTTCAGAGAAAATTAAAAGTAGCTTATCTTTAACTGCTTGCTGTAAATGGGTGATGACACCACCTTTGTGCTTCAGAATTATCTACCATACCAGCATAACTTCACATGGCCACATGCCTTTCAACTGCATGCTGTATCATCGTGCTGAAAACGAGTCATATGTATAAACTCTCAGCAGGAGGAGTGTGGGACAACAGTTAATAGAATAAATGTAGTTGTAGGAAGTTCCCTGTTGTTGTCAGCTGTTGATGTAAGACAGTATTAACAAGTGCTGTACACCATCTGGATCAGACAGGATGAGAGTTCAGCTAAAATTATAATTTATTCATGTGGAGTGGTGGAAATGCAAGCTTAGGGCCCAACCAGTGTCAGTTCACCTTGCCTCAGATGTAGTATTACTGTCAGCTGAAACTGCATATCCAACTGTAACTAGTGCTGCTGGTGAACACCTCTTCTACCCTGGGACTGGGCTGGACAGTTCTGCCACTACAGCAAGTGTTCTTCTTTCTTCCTTTCCAGGTCAATTGTGGCTTTTAAGGACTTTAGAGTTAGAGGCACAGGGATTCATATACTAAGCTCAAGAACTAAGGGAGCAGTAGCCCACCTTAAGCAAATACACCCCACATAAGAAACACTTGACTCCAAGTCCTTTGTTACTTTGCAGATCTTTTATTTAGATGGTTTGTTGCTGCAAATAAAAAAAACCACACAAGATTCAACTCAAGTATAAAGCAGCACAGGTATCTTAAATGGAAGAGAAGAGCTGACAACATACTGTATCTCACTTTCTAACAGATTTTCAAGGAAAGGGGGAGATTAGTGGGGAAGGAATGGTCACAGAAATGCTCTCTACTAGAGAGAATACAACTGTGATATAAACAAGCAGTCCCTTCATCTTTGGAGTCTGAAACTTTAAATCAAACATTTAAAAAAATTAGAAAATTTGTTAGAAAAATAGGTGCAGTAAAATTGTATATATTGGATCATGTGTAAATATAACAATTTTCATTAAGTAAAAAAAGTGATCTTTACAAATAATGCTTTATAGCAAATAATCAGCTGCACTGTATCAGACTACAGTGTTGTTTAGGCATTTTTACAGATGCAAGTCTTATTAAATCTGAAAAGTAACAAAATATACAGAGCAAAACTATTTCCCTTTAAACTAGTATTGCATATTTTATATATATATAAATACTACACTATAACTGATCAGTTATGAAGCTGGAATGCAAACACAATAGTGTATTAGATTCCAGAGTATTTGCCTAGTTGTTATGTGAGGAGGGTATCAGTGTCCTTATGCCACACTTCTGTGCCATCACTGCAGAATTTCTCCAGTTCAAAACAGCAACCAGAAAAAGCCTCATTTCTACACAAAATAGTTCTCGGGTGGTGTCAGTTCTTTTGTGTGCAGGGGGTGGGGGGTGTCAGGGGGCATCAAGACCAAGACAAAACTAATGTTCTACAACCTGTCTTCTCAGCTGTTAGACTGTACACTGTAACTACTAACACAAAGGCATATGGCACAAAAGTCACCCACAGTTGCTTATTTTTAGACCAAGCTGAATCCAGCACCTGCACAGGACACATATCTTCACCTAGAAACACAGCCCTGTTAAAGCTTTTCTTGCTTAAAGAGAGATGTGACGTTTGGCCTTTTGGCACTAAGCAAAGGCATGAGCAAGTTACCAGGATCAGTGGTACCATGAGTTGTTAACTATACCCAATTTAACAGAAGATATGGAATCAAAGGGAGATTCAAACACCTCAGTGTTTAGAGAACATTTGTTAGATGTCATACAGTGACCCCCTCCTCAGGGAAAAAAAAAACAACCACAACAATAACAACAACAAAACAACCCCAAAACAAGAACACAGCATTAAGATCTGCCTTCCCACAGTCCTGCCTTCTTGTTATACACATCATTACATGGCTTCAAACTCATCGATTCTCTGCTTCGTGTTGCCCTGCCGGATCTGCCGCAGCGTCTTGTACTTGTCACGCCCCTGCCGCATGTTCTCCGAGTGGATAATATCATTTTGGGTCCTCTTATTTTCATCTCTAGCCTGGGCCAGCTCATCTGTCAGTGCCTGCAACATACAGAACATAAAATACAGGTTATACATGAGACACTTTCAGCTTGTGAGAGTAGCAGTTTTTGAGAGCTGACAGTTGTGAGATGACAGGACAGATCAGTGACATGGATACAACATGTGCTTTCCATAAACACTATGGATGATGGAAGTCACCTCAAAGCCTGAGCAATTAAAATACTCTTTATATACCTTGCTTTTAATTAAAGCTGCCTACAGGAACTGTAAACTAAGAGAAACTATAGAATCATAGAACAGTTTGGGTTGGAAGGAACCTTAAAGATCATCGGGTTCCAACAGCCCTGCATGGACAGGGATACCTTCCGCAAGACCAAGTTGCTCAGAGCCTCATTCAACCTGGCCTCGAACACTTCCAGGGTTGGGGCATCCACAACTTCTCTGGACAACCTATTCAACTGTCTCACCACCCTCACACTAAAGAATTTCTTCCAAATACTTAATTCCTCTTTCAGTTTAAAGCCATCCCCCCATATCTTATCACAACAAGCCCTTGTAAAAAGTCCCTCCCCAGGTTTCTGTAGCCCTTTCAAGTACTGGAACAACACTAAAAGTCTCCCTGGAGCCTTCTCTTCTTCAAGCTGAACAGCCCCAACTTTATTATGTTTTGTGTGCTTAACCAAATGGTTAAAAGATCTCTTTTCCAGGAATTATTTGTTTGATTGCTCCCCCTCCTCCAAACATTTTCTTACCCTCAGTTGCCTCTGTACACGTTCATTCTTCTCTGCTTCAGTAATGCGCTTCTCCTCATTGCGGTCATTTCTGATCCCTTCACTGGAGAACTCTGCACTGTAGGCAGAGTACTCAGACCCTTCATCTTGCAAGTTATCATGGACAAGGTAGTTCACTGGCTCATAGACAGGTGGTGGGGGTGGAGGTGGAGCAGTCATGACCAGGTGCAGCTCCTCCTTTGTCTTTACCAGATCCTCCTGGGCTTCCTTGGCCTTTGGGAAAAAAGAGTGAAAAACATTTTCATGCATTTCTTGCTTTAAAGCAGGTTAAAGAAAGCTTCAATGCCTAACTTCTCAGTCTTGTCAAGCTGCAATGAAAAGCAAGGAAGAGGGAATTAAACCTCTGCAGCTGACAGCACTTTGGTACAGTCTGATTGCAGAACATTTATTTTTGTTAGTGATGCATCATCATCTGCTGTTTAATGTGCAGGGGATCTAAACAAAGAATTTTCTTCCAACCAAACACTGCCTAGGAAAGACAATTCTGTGGGATGCTACAGTTCTCTTCATCCTGTTCTCCATCTGAAGAGCTGTAGGCTGTAAAAACGAGTTCCACAGAGCAAGAATGTAGATTCCTGAGTTGGCATTTTTAATGCAGTTACACACCAGTCTGGCAGCTTCCCTGCTGCTTCGGTAGTTCTGCCCTCCCATGTGTCCTGCAGCACTAGTTACCAGGGCACTGGGAGCTCCAGGCACTCCAATCCTTGCATGATTTATTTTTGGCTTTAGTAGATCAAACAATTCAACTCTCCCGACCCAGGTACCAGGAGGTGCTGACAGCAGCACACACTCCTCACAGACTGGAACCTGTGGTGTGGCTGCATTTGCAGTATTTTCTCTTGATTGAGGTCACGTTTTCAGACATTACATCATGGATTAAATGCATCATTTATATGTGCACCCCATCCCCTCCATGGCTCCAAGAAGATGAGCACATCTTTAGGTGTCCATTTTGAATTCTCACTGAAGGCTTGGTGGAAGAAAGATGTTCTGCAGGCATGTTGCACATTCAGCACGAGTCTGCCCTTCTCTGCTAGTGTATGGACATCTGACTCCATGTGTTTAGAGGAGTCACACCAGGCTAAGCACTGCAGTGTGCTCTGCTCAAGTGCAGAGCAACTTCACAAAGCAAAGATACTCACTCTGATTTGCCACTCTTCAACCTCACTCTCTTTACGCCTCCTTGCCTCTTCAAGAAGTGCAATCTTGGCTGTATACTCTGCAAGCTCTGTAGCCTGTTGGATAATAAAACCGGAATGATAAAGACTCTTAAAAAAACCAAACCAAACAACACTGAGACACTTCAACCAAGAAAAGACACACGTGTTAACACTCCACTGTAATAAAAACTGAATTGGAAATTAAGAACTAAAAGCAGATTGCTCCTGATAGAAACCAGTGCCCCAATGCTGTTGCATGGTTTAGTACTTCACTGTTTTTCCCCAGAGAACAAAGCTTTGCCTTACTCAAAGGGCTTAGTAACACACCCATATATCTTATCCTCAAAATAACTGGGTCTTACCAGCTGTTCCTGGCTCTTTATCTGGTCCTTGGTTTGTCTCTCCAGCTCTTCCTTGGCCTGCAGAGCAGCCAAACGATCAGCTTCCAAGCGTTCTGCCTCCTCCTGGGCTCGTCTCCTTTCCTCCTCCAACTGAATGGCTCTTTGGATCTGATCGGAGAGCTCTGGAAAAAGATGGATTAATGCAGTTAGTCCAGAAGCCTGGCCAATGCAAAAGGACTACAGTATCTTAGGAAACTGCAGAAATCATGACAAGCACTTGACTCCAGCATGCAATATCCCTTCACTGGGCACCTCAAAGTGGTTATTTGCATAATATGTCAAATAACTGAATTCAGAAGTAGTCAGCTGAACATTACAATAAATCCTCTACAAGATATTTGCACTGAAGTCTGTAACACTGACATGATTAATGGACAGTTTACTGCAAGGCCCAGATGTTGCTGTCTCCAGTCTGCTCATCTGTGCATTGAAACAGAAGCTTCTGTGTCACTTGAAAGACTTGTTCAAAAAGTACTTTTTCTTTTAGGGATGAAGTTAAAAGTACTTGCAAGGTAAATTCTTGCTCACTGCTGGAAGAGGCTCTACTACTAAAACCCTCTTGGCAACAGTCATGCCCTTCCATTCCCAAATACAACCACCTGATTTCATGCTACTTTCACTCTTTGGATGATCTCAGCAGTGCACACAACACATGTGTATCTGTACAGGCAGATATCAGTGAGCCTTGCCAAGGGATCCCAGTGTTACCAGACTCAGGCTTGGTGTAGGCAGGGACCCATATCGCCCTTCTAGGGAGCACAGTACACATGATCTGGTCAGCCTGTACAAGTACTTTACCTTTCTCTGCTTTCTGAGTCTTCAGCTCATATTCTTGTAGCCTCACCAGCAGCTCCTCCTTCTCCCTCAACATCTGCTCTTTCTCCCGCTCAATTGTCTCCCTCTTCTTCTTTTCATTTTCCAGTTGTTGCCTGTTAGAAATAGATTTCATGCTTGGAGCTCACTTTCAGACCTAAACTACAGCAAGGCAAGAAAGCTGGCTGGGCATCTCTCTAGGCAGTTCAGTGGGAAGGGACCACCATAAAACAAGAGCCGAAAGACAGAAATACACATACAGCCTGTTCCTTCATCACGTTCAAGTTTTTGCTCAGTTTTGGATACCTCATTTCATTAAAATTTTTATATTTGTGTTGCCTGCCACAGAAATTTAGAAACACCACATAGATTCAGAGAAAGAAAACCAGACTCTGTACTGCACAGCAGAGAAGATTTAACTTTGTTACTTCTGTCATAAGGAAAGTCTAGGAGGTGTAAAAACAAGAGCACTGAGAATGAAGAAAAACAAGCAAAGGAAGCACAAATACAGGAGAAGAGCAGCATAAGTTCTTAAATAAGCAATGTGCGGCCAGCAGTAGATGTGTAATGGAATTGCTAATCCTTTTTCCTTCCCCAGTCCCTTCTTCTCTCTTCACAGTGTACACACATCCTCTCTGTGAAGGTTTCTCCCTTACTCCCAACTATTCCATGGTCCAACACATGAATCAGGTTCTAACACTCAGGAGAAGCCCTTTCTAGGTGTACACCACCACACTAGAGCCCAGTGTGCCTCTAGCTGCACATTTCCTTGCAACTCTGCAAACAGGACAGCAGACCATGTGGCCACAGGTCAGAGCCAGAAGAGCAACACTTAGGGTCCTGCTGCAGAATGTCCCAAGTCCACACCCCTAAGCCAGAGCTCTGGGGCTTCACATGCACCTCACCAAGGTGGCACAGCTCATGGCCTCGCCTAAGCGGAACCTACATTACCTACTGCTGAGCCTTAGCAGCTCAGTGTCATTCTTCTCTGCCACCCCATCCCTGCTGTCCGTATTCAAGCTCACCTCTCCAGTTGCTTCTGGTGCTTCTCCTCCCGGGCCTGGGCTTTCATCTGTTGCACCTCAATGGTGTCGGGCTTCCTGCGCCGCATGTACAGCTCGTGGTTGCCCATACAGAGCTGCAGGATCCGCTTGTTAATTCTCAGACGAGGGGCATAAAACACAAAGTCCTAGAAGACAGACAGCACACAGTCAGTTTTCCACATGTGCTCTCTCTTCTCCCCACTAGTTGCAGGCATCATCTTGCCACTAATTACACTGTAGTTGAGACATATACACAGGCCTCTTAAATACAGCAGCAGGGACTGCCAAGATAAACTGACGCCAAAACAACTGTTATTTATATTCTCTATTTGAAGTCTACATAGAATTGACAAGTTACTCTTTTAGAAAAAAGAGTAGCTGTTAGAGAAAATTAACAAATCTCCATTTAGAAAAGATTTTGTGGAGTCTGGAAATGCTGCAGAAAGTTCTGGGTTGGCAGGTAACCATCTGGGCAACTCACAGACCTCTAATATTAACTAGTTGTTAAGTTTGCATGGTTTTGTGACTGAAAGATAAAGTATGAAACAAAAAATGTATTGCAGACTATTAAAGTAATTCCACAGAATCTTCTGACCTCTTTGAATAAAAATTCAAGGCACCATCTGTGTTTTTTCAGAAAAAGAGAAAAAATACCTTCCAATTTCATTATTTTCCTCTCCATGGCATTTCCTAGTTAACTTGGCCCAGGCTGTTACAAGAGTGTCAAATGAAAGCTATTTTTTTTTTTTGAACCACCAAACATACAGGTTATTTTGAATACTGGGTTGCAGGCAATAACAAAACACAAGATACTGTAAAATTTCTAGTTTTTAAAAAATAACTGCCCCAAATTTATTATTATGTCTTATAACTAGACTTTTACAGAAACCAGTCACCACACTGGATCTCCTAGAAGTAAATCCGCTAAGAAAGGAATACATGGGGCCAAGTTTATTACCTGCCTGATGGTTTTTGAGTTCACAACCATACATATTCACAATGCAGTCTGAACTTACACAGTGAATAAAATCTGCTGCACCTTTGTGCCTTTTTTTTGGTGTACTATGTGGAAGGTGATATGGGCAGTGGGAAACTTGCCACACTGCTCCTGTAACCAGCACCCATTCCTTAGAATCACTCTCCTGTGGATTGTCTCCCTGCTGGCAAGGGCTGGAAATGAGAAACGGGCACAGAGGCTCTACACTTCTGCATGGCAACAGTGATCATGTTTTAATTGCTCAGAACCACAGGTTGTGGCTATCTCTGAGAAAACCAGAAGCCACTCCAGAAGCAATGAAAGGCTGTGCAAGTATTATTAAAATGAACATGAATACACTCACAAACACTTGTTTTCTTCCATGCATTTTCCTAATTCACATACTGACTGCAAAAGAGGCCACCAGCACCATGTGTTGTGCTTCCCCACTAAATCCTGCCAGAGCCATTCTGAGTTGTACAGGTCTGATACTGCCAGCTCTACCTGTGAGCCATCCATCTGACCTCCTATTTCTGACAAGTAATCTTAAAAACAAACAGCTTGTGTACCTTGAAATGAACAGGTCCTATCCTAAGGCAAGGCTGACCTACATGGAAGGAAATACTGAGGACATGGACAGTGGTTGCCTTTGTCATTTAAGGTCATAACCAAAGGACAAAATGTTTGCATAAGAACATAAAAGGCTCCCCTCCCTTCTTCCTCTCCAGCCTCTCCCTGGTATCCTGCAACTGGGACCATTGCAGCTTGATATTTTAAAGATAGTGTGCTGAAGATGTTAGAAGTATGTGGGCAGACTGGCATGAAAATTAAAAAGCTTATTCTGGGCAAGATGCCACAGGACTCTACCCATTATGTTAGTGTCCATTTAAACACTGACATTTAGAATCCTCCAAATTAAAGGGGAGCTTTCAACTCACATCACAGGTGGACTGAATACTCTGCTGTAGTTATAATACTTGTCTTTTTAAAAGGAGACACAAGAATATGAGAAGATCCAGACAACGTCCTGAACACTCAAGAGTCAGCGTCCAAATAAATTCTTCTTTCACACATAGCTTTAAATATACCACCACCCAGCTTGAAAGGGACAACTGACATTTTGGGAGGAAATATAACTGAGGTTTTCAATGTTAGCACTTTTCTGTATCAACCTCTTGCCAGTCTACCATTTCAAACTCAGATTTACTGTTGGGGAGTGGGTAGAAAGTTGTGATCTATAAACAGAAAAATTAATATTTTGTAATGTGTACAACATGTCCAAGAGGGTATTCTATTGAGAAAAGCAGGCCTGACAGAGATCAGCTTCATATCTCTAGAGTCTTGTTGGCTTTCACTAACAGCATCACAGAAAGAAGATCCTCTCCCAGGAAACCCAGGCTGCTACCTGAAAGAAAGCCCTGCTGCACACTGTGCATTGGTATCCTTTAAATGACTGTGAGGATCTTTTTCTGTTACAGTGATTTATAAGCCATCACTCTTTGTCAAAGCCTAACTGCTTATTATTTCTCAGGGCTGTACTTACCCACCAAGGACAAGTAGTGGGGTGGGGAAAGAGAAGAAGAGGACATTTTTCTCAAACTATTCCAATAGTTTCACAAGACTGACAGAGTAAGATCCACCTATACCAGTTATTCCACTTTATTTTCTCAATAGGTCAAAGTAAGTTGCTAATTCACTAAAATAACTCTGGAAACAACAGTCACAGGTAGCTACATTTCAGTCCTCAACTGAAAACCCATCCTTGCCATTTAAGCCAGTATTCAAGAAAGTCAATGAACACCATAATCCTTTACTGACTTTTACTCTTTCAGTATTGTGGAAGCAAGCAGGGAGCATTAAGTTTGGGAGCCACAGGTATCCATGTGGTTTTGCAGTAGCATTTGAATGATTTTTGGGGCATTTGTTTTAATGAATAACAACAACAAAGTCACCCACCAGTTTCCATGCACTGAAAGAAATGAGGAGACTAGTGTCAGTACAATCTGGCTGCACAGAAGACTCACAGAACTAGAATTAAGTTAGATACCTCCATAAGCCCGTTCTTTATGCTGCATAGTGGAATAGACAGCTCTAAACACAACCTAAATACTAAGGCTAATTTTGCATCTAGAATATCTGCAGTTTTCTCCACTGCAAAGACTAGTTTATTTTGAGATGAAACAGTTGTTCATATGCAGTATCCAGGAAACTATTCTAGAAATACTTACTGGTGCCTTCTTGTCAATAGGCTTTATAACAAACTTCTTGTCATTGAAAGAGATGTTCCTGATTTCGCTCCAAGGGAACCCAATCTTTGGAGTCAGCCTGGAAAGAAGTGAAATACTTTAAGAGATGCTGCAATGAACAGTTTTTCTCCACATTGTTTCTATACACAGACTCAGCAGGATGCAACACTTCACACAGCTCTCCCAAGAGATAGAAAACAGCAGCTGAACCAAAAACCCACAGGGAATAGGGGAAGAAGCCCAGTTAGCTCCCTTACAGAGACTCTTCTCATGTTGGCCAGCCACCAAATGCAACAGGGATGGTTTCTACCAAGTCCACATACTCAGCTTTACCAGACATCTGCTTTAAGTTAATTTCTTTGAGATCAGGGCCTAAAATTTTTGCTTCCAGGAGGCTTGTCATACATCATGGAGGGCAGAAGCCAAAGTAATTTGGCTGCTCCCCACACCTTCTAGCACCCACAGAGAAGTCTACCCTGCAGTGTCACAGGTAGCCCAGTTACCTCCACGCTGCCTTTGCTTCTGCAGTGCTGGGCAGGCACAAACACAATTGGCAGAAGCAGATTTCTGGTCTTCTGTTTTCTCCCCTAGATTACAGGCAAGGCAAGTAACAAAGAGCCCTGCTCTTTCCTTCCATGCAAACTGTTCTTTTGGCCCATCCCACTAGTTGGGAAGCAGAACTACACACCTTGGCTGCAAGGAGCTGTGCCATGTGGTCCTCTCCTATTGGAAAGCTCCCCTATGGAGCAGAGGGCAAGAGTCGGACTTCCCAGCTCTTCCTTGCTGCTTAGGAGTTCAGGTCTGTATGTTTCTTTAAAATTACTTCTTTAAGCTTCACTAATCATTTGAGATTTTCCTTTGCTTTAATTTCTCCAGATGCTTGCAGATAAGAAGCATCAAGTTATCCATGAGATCAGATGTTTCCAAGGCATTCCAGTATTTCACCCTTATATACCTGCCCAGCTCTGCAGCAAGTTCTAGTATTACAAGGACTTGCGTATTTGACTGTAACTAATTTCTTTAATTCCCCCCAAGCAAATACTAATGTTTAGTATCACAGTATTATTACTTTATTCTGCTCTTATCAAGGCAGGGTATAATCTCTAGACACAGCAGTTAACGATCAAGAAGAGTCTCTTACATAAGTGATAACACCAACAAGCAATCTCAGGGTTATCATCCAACCCCTCCAATATGTGTCAGACACACTGAAGTGCTGACCATTATTTCTAGCAAATGATTTGAAGACACAAGTATTTTATGCTTAGTACTTAGAAAAATGTTTGTCATCACGGTCAACTGTAATAATCCTCGCCAAGGAGCTCAATGCTTAAGGAAAAAAGCTGTCCATTTGGAAATAATGTGACTCATTGTCACAGAGATGGAAAGCTACTACATAGCACAAGTTCACTGGGCCCAGGCTTAAAAATCCCAAGCTTACTTCATTTAAAACCAGACATTGAGAATAAAACGTATCCTCTTCAGAATTTACCATCCCCATATCTTTAACTCAACTGGAAGATCATGCAACAGTATCTGTGTAACATTTAAGTAAGAATTGTAAAGAAAATTACTTTATTGGACTAAGATTAGCTAATGACTTCAGCCTCCACCATATTAGCTTCAACCCTAGATAAAACAGTGTGGTGGACAACTAAGATAATTCATTTTTATTAATAAGTTATATTGAAGACCCTCCTCTTAATGCAGTAAAAAAACCCAACAACTCTTGAAAATACCTAGAAGCAGGACACTGCAGTATAGAGGCTCACACACCTATAGCACAATCTCATTTTCCACAGGTTGAATTTGAACAATGAAGTATTTGCCTTTTCACCTTTGCCCCAGTCCCCAAGTTTTGCACGTACAAGTCAGAGGTGAAGAACACATGACTATTTTCTTGTCCTCCTATCTACTCAAAAGACTTAATTACACAGTAGCAAGAGTTACAGCAGAAACAAGCAGTTTATTCCAGCACTGTATTTGTTTTGCAAATGCTCTTGATAGCTCTTTACAGTCAATGGCTATATTCTGTCTGCTTCTGCAGCTCGAAAAACCTGTTTGAGTGACCATGGTTACATAGCAAGACTAGTCATTCCAGACTGAAGTATTACATGAGCGAAACTACTTTTCTTTCAAGTGACACTCCTTGTTTTCTGCGTGACAGCACATATTAGCATTGCAGAAAGGACTGCATTTCTCTTTGCCATCTTAACAGAACCTCCAGAGAGTTCCAATTAATATTTGGGTTGCATCCAAAGCTTTTTGGAGGCAAAGATGTAGAACAGGTGAAATCCCTTCTGTACTACATTGATAGTCTGTTATAGATAAGTGACATGAAATCAAAATGTGGAATGCAGGTTGGGAAAAAAACCCCAACAGTCTAGACAGCAACTCCTCATCTAAAAAATTTCTATTCTAACTCCCCTTCAACCCCTCAATTGTGGATTATTAGAAGAGACTAGCAGGCTTAGACACAGCTGTTCTCATCTCCTTTTATGTTTATTTATAGATGTAGTCTATCATTTCCCACCTACTATCCAATTAATAATGGCTCTGCCTTTACCAGGAGGGTTGATTAAAACTTTGTGTACCTCAGCAAGACCTCATTTCATTCCTCAGTCATGGTAACTACACAGCTTAACTCCTCCCTGGGTCCTGGGTGTTATCTGGCTTTGGTTTCGTATCCACCCCATAATCTGTCTTTTTCAAAACTGGGCAACTGTCCATACATCTATAATTAACTTCAGTATAGGAATGGCCTTAGATGTGCAAACACTCTGCAGACATGCTAGCCTCTCTAGGTTCTTGTGTTGCATCTACTGCTGGCATCCCTGGCAACCTGACTCAAGGAAAATCTTGGGAAATTCTTTAGTTCAGGGTTCAGAGTCAGCGGTGCAGTTTACCAGATGGTGTTGTTAGACTGACATCTCTCTTTATACAGTAAAGTAGCATTAGCAGGTCAGGCTACAAAGGTCAGGAAAGTCATGAAAGGTTAAATGATGTGAAAGCTCATTTCCTAGCACAGCTTCACTTACTGATCCAAAACTGGAACACAAGCAAGTTCTCAACCTTGCCCTGATCCTGTAAATGAGAAATGTCCTTTGGCTCTCCCACCAGCCCTCACCCTGGAAAATCAGGGAAGAAAAAAAGTGCCTTACTTATCATCCTTTTCATAGATGTTCAGCCCCAAGGCATCAACCCCCAGCCAAAGGTCAGTTCCTTTCTTATTCTTGATCTCGAAGTAGTTGATTCCATACATTTCCAAGTCTTGAGCAATCTTCAGGTATTCCAACATGGCATTCTCTCTGGGTGAGACAAAGAGAAAAGATGTTAACTTCTTATTATCTGATTATCTCAGAAAGCACTAAGTCCTTAAGAGAAACAACTTTTCCTAAAGCAACACATCAAACACAAGCATTAAAACTGAACATTCATCATTTGGGAATCACTTTAAGAGTTCTGATATTACACCTATGAACACACTCACCCCCACACAGGGCATTCTCATTTATCAAGGCCTAATATTTCCAGACAGAAAATAAACAATGTTCATCTCTTCCAGCACTCATCCTTGTCCCAAGGTACAATCAATGGGAAAGGTGTAGTACCTGAACTTTCCCCACCTGCCAATACAAATGCTTGAATGAACTTCAGGTCAGATGCACACCTGTATTTTCTTGCATCCCTGATACACTGTGTCTAGGAAGCCATCCCAGAGGCTGGTCTCGGCACACGTGTGAAAACCCCATTGAGTTTTATCATGTAATTTGATGGTGAATTAGAAAATATACACCAAGAATGCCCACACCCAAGCAACTCTTGGGAGTCTATTTCAAATGCATGTTGTGGAACTGCAAGCTTAAGGTAACCAACCAGCAAGGCAGTGACTGTCCCAGGGACCAAGGCAAGGCACGTACTTGAG